GCATGGATATTATCCTATCACTTATAGCATTGTACCTCATGCCTGATCTGGATATGTTCTTTTTGACAATGAACGCAACACCATTCCTCTTCAATTTTTCATTCCCTGCATAGTAAACCATGTGGTTGTAAGATTGAAAATGGCTAATACCAGTCCATTTCAGCTCACAAATTCCTAAGATATCGATGCTGATGCATTCCATTTCATTTTTGACAACTTCCAATTTTCCCAGATTCATACTTTGTACATTCCATGTTCCGATTTTCAATGGATGTTTACAGCTGTTTCTCTTCAGTTTCATTTGTGGCCCATTAGCAAATGAAGGTTCTGTGAGCTTTTCTCTATTTGGAGGAGGCATTTTTTCCCCAGTTGCATTCTGAGTGCCTTCCTACCTTCTGGTCCTGTATCTGACAGTGTTTCTCTGCTATTCATAGAGTTTTCAGTGACTGGTGATTCGGAAGTAGTTTGTCACTCTTTATTCCTAGTCTGTCTTTCTTTGGAAGCTCATCTGAAACCTGTCCACCATGGGTGACCCTGCTGGTTATTTAAAATACCGGTGGCATAGCCTTCAGAATCACAGCAATTCAAACCACCACAGCACGACAGACATACGAGTGGCGGTTGCGTGGTTGCTGTTAAATAGGAATCTCCTTGTGCCAGGGCCCTTAAGTCTGGCTCAAAGGCGGGATTTCTGTCCTTGGATGTCAGTCAAGAGGCAGAAGAGCAGCAGGGGCGACTGGATTCTAGCTAGTCGCTTTGGGCTGGACTTGTGGGTCTCTAAGTTGCTCGACCCCGCCTCAAAGCTAAGATCCAACGTTAGGCTAGGAAGGTGTTCTTGCGTTCCGGGTAAGTAGGACAGCCTGACCAGCCCGTGCAGTCTCTTCCCGCTAGGCAGCGTCTCCCCATCAACCTGGTCTCCAGACACCTCTCACCCTGCTGCTCCGTAGTCTGGGTTTTGTTTAACACCTCCACCAGGTCTGCGCAGTTCTTGCCCATCGTTTAGCCGCCGCCCTCCATGATAGGAGCCCTCGCGACTATTAGGATTCATATATAAATATTTTCTGTAGCAAAACTTTTTTAATTTTCTTTGTTTTTTTAGGGATTTTCTCTAAAATGGGAATTCTTACTGTACTCACTGGATTCTGGCTGTTCTCTACAGTAAAGGCAGACTCAAAAGCCATCACAACATCTCTCATTACAAAATGGGCTTCTACCCCATTGTTGTTAGAAGCCAGGTAAGTTGTTTTTTTTTTTACTTGTTTGTATAAAAATTTTGGCTCTACCAGTAAGGTTTTCAGGAAATGAGATTATCATCATCAAATGCATGTATTCAGACCTTCTGTGATTATAGCACAATCCATGTATCAAGCTAATGAAGATATAAAAGTTCTGTCTGTCAGTAAGACAGGACTGCATGGAATCAGAGAGTTATTTAGGAACTGCGTGAAAGAAATATATTTAATTGGCTAAATTATTATGTTGTCTCCAGGAAAACTACAAATGTGGTAATAAGGGACATTATAAGAAACTGTTATACTTAAAGGACATTTTCTGCTTAGAGGAAGGTTTAAGAGGTTTTTAATAAAAGGAAGATAATAGAGCTTGACAAGATATAGTCCAAGGAGAGATGTTCCTCATAAGGACTTGGAAGAAGACATCAAGATAAGAGTTTGAGGGTAAGCTGAGGAAATGACTGTGTTTTATCTATTCTAAGATATACTGTTTTTGCATTTTAACATCTTAAAAATCAGGACACATTTCTAATCCAATTAAGGTAGTGTCTTAAAATTAAAACTGGTAGCAATTTTCCTTCTTATTGGTTCTTAAAATCAATTTAGTCTTAACATTGATAAAATACAATATAGTTAACAATTTTCCTGGGGAAAATTTTAGATTCATTCCCAGTGTATTTTTTACGTAGTGCTTATAATGTATGACACTTCTTGGAAACCCGTGTTTTTGTTTTGTTTTATTGTTTGTGGATGGAAACTTTTTGTGTTGAGAATATACACAGATAAGAAAATATACACCAATTCAACAGTTTCTACATGTGCAATTCAGTGACATTGATGACATTCTTTGAGTTGTGCAAAACCATTCTCACCTTCCTTTTCTGTGGTCTTCCAGCTTCATTAACGTAAACTCACTGTCCCTTAAAGTTTCTGTTTAATCCTATGAGTTGCTGTTGTCAATGTGTAAATTCAACATATAAATCTAGAGAGAGCACAGTGCTCAAAACAGACATTGTTTACTATTTAAGCTAAACTATTACTGGGCAAGGGCATCATGCTTGGTAAAGATCGAGGGTCAGTGAATAAGAGGAAGACCCCAAGTGAGATGGATTGATAACAGTTGCAGCAGCAGTGGGGTCAAATGTAACAACAGTTGTGAAGATGGCAAAGACTGGACAGTGTTCATTCTATTTTGCATAGGGCTGCTATGAATCAGAACCTCCTTGAAGGAACTTAACAACTTTACTTGGTTTTAAGAAGTCCTCAGAAAGTTTCTGATTTAAGATTTAAAAATTATTTCAGGGTAATAATTTTAGGGGATTAGCCAGCCCCCATGGAGTCTTGCTGTGGTGCTGTGGGTTAATGTACTGGACTGCAAGGTTGGTGGTTCAAGCTCATGAGCTGCTCCTTGCAAACCCTATACAGGGTTGTTATGGGTCGGAACCAACTTAATGTCACTTCACAACAACAACAACACTCTAGCCCCCATGACTCCAGAAAGTCTGGAGTCTATGAGAATTTGAAATTCAGTTCTGCATTTCCACCTGTTTTATCAGTATACTTCTGTAGAATCTTTGATCAAAGTGTCCAGTAACTGCCCACCATATAGTTTTTGTCTGGATAGCAAAGAAGGCAATTATTTATGGAGGTGACTAGTCACACATTTCATATCTGCGTCCTCTGTTGCTCCAGACTAGTATAGACCAATTATTGCTTCTTAGATGGCTGCTTGAGAACTTTTAATACACCGGGCATTATGCAATAAACTGAAGCACTAATCAGATTATTAGACCAATTAGTTGGAATGTCCCATGAAACTGTGCCTCTCAATTCTAAACAATGGAACCAAATCCCATGAGATATTTAGTTGTACATAAGCAGTCTCAGTGTGTGTGTATGTGTATGTTGCACAGCTTTGTCAGTTCAGATATACAATTTATTGACAGCACTTGGAGTAATCAACTGTGTAACCTTACCTGTAGTCAGTGCTATTTTTCTGTCACCATTAACCCTTCTTACCTTTTTTCTCATGCCCCTGGTAATTAGTAATAAACTTTGGCCTTGGTACATTTGCCTAGTCTTGTCTTTTTATATAAATGAGGTCTTATAATTAAAGGGAGCCTCAAAAGTTTTCAGAAAGATGGAATAAAAGATATGGAAAAATTTCACAGATTTTTTGAAGCTCTCTTACATTTGCTTTTTGTGATTGACTCATTTCACTCAGCATAATCTTTTATACCTTCATCCATAGTGTAGCATGAAGCTAGACTGAAATTATCCTACTGAATAAGCAGCTTCCATTGTATGTATAGGAGTCCTGATGTGGCGCTGTGGGTTAATGCGCCAGACTGCAAAGCAGTTTGAACTGCAAGGTTGGCAGTTCAAGCTCACAAGATGCTCCTTGGAAACTCTGTACAGGGTCACTATGGGTCAGAATCGACTTGATGGCACTTAACAACAATACAGTTGTATGTATATGTTGTTGTTGAGTCAGTTCTGACTCTTAGTGACCCTGTACTGTATAGGGTTTCTGAGGAGCCACTGGTGATGGTGAGTTTGAACCAACCTTGCAGTCCATTGCATTATCCTGGACTCTTTGTGTGTATGTATATGCCACATTTTGTGTACGCATTCATCTGTTGATGGGTATTTAGATTGTTTCTATATTTTGGTTTTTGTGAATAGTTCTAAAATGAACATTTGTCTACAAGTATCTGTGTGAGTCTCTGCTTTCAAGTTTTTTAGGTCTGTACCTAGGAATGAAATTGCTACGTCATATGGTTGTTGTTGTCATATGGTAGTTATGCGGAAATTATCGGACAGTATCTTTGATATCCCATGCGAGTAAAGTTTTACTAACTGTAGTACAGAAAAACGGCTGCAAGCATACATTGACAGAGAACTTCTAGAGGTTCAAGCTGGATTCAGAAGAGGACGTAGAATAAAGGATATTATTGCTGATGTTGGATGGAGTTTGGCTGAAAGCAGAAAAAGATGTTTACCTGTGCTTTATTGACTATGCAAAGGCTTTCGATTGTGTGGATCATGACAAGCTATGGACAACATTGCGAAGTATGAGTATGCCTGAACACTTAATTGTGCTTATGAGGAATCTGTACATGGACCAAGAGGCAGTTGTTTGAACTGAACATGGGAACACTGAATGGTTTTAAATTAATAAAGGTTTCAACAGGGTTGTATTGAATTATTCAACAAGAGAAGTTTATTCTTCAAAATAATTAATAAAATTGACCAACTATTGGAGGGAGAGGATACAGATAACATGGATAAGAAATTATATGAGTGATGTCACAACAGAAAAAGGGAGAAGATGCAAATAACATGGATAAGAAACAATATGGATGATGTCACAACAGAACCATTGGAAATAAAAAAGGATAACAAAACTAGAAAAAGCTGTGTTGTTGTTGTTCAGTGCCGTGGAGTCAGTTCCAACTCACAGCAACCCTGTATGGGGTTTCTGAGGAGTATCTGGTGAGCTTGAACTGCTGACTTTGCAGTTCAAACCGACTTTGCAGTCCAGCACATTAATTAGCACTCAAATAAATGTGAAAATATAGAATAAATTGATAAATTTTTAGAAAAACATCACAACCCACTTAAACTAGCACAGAGTAAGTATAGTAGAAAATTTCAACAGACATATAATAAAAGAAGAAATTGATCAGGTGGTTAAAAACCTCCCAACAAGAAAAGTCCAGACCCAGATGGTTTTACCAGTGAATTTAGCAAACATTCAGAGACGAGCTGACACCAGTTTTGCTCACACTATTCCAGAACATAGAAAAGGATGGAAAACTGCCGAATATATTTTATGAAGCAAGCATGATCCTCATACCAAAACTGGGCAAGAATATCACTAATGAAAAAGAATATTATAGACTAATATCCCTTATGAACATAGATGTGAAACTTCTTAACAAATTCCTATCCACTGTAATTTACCACATTAAAAAA